AGAGAAGAAGAAGTGCAGATGGGAGAGGGAGAGAGAGAGAGAGAGAGAGAGAGAGAGAATACAAAAAGAGAAAGAAAGATAGAAAGAGAGAGGTAGAAAGAGAAACAAACGAAATGTTAAATAGTTTGTTGGAAATAATCAAAGAACAGATGCACAAAACATAGGTACAAACGATTGTTTGTTATCAATATACTAATATGTAATTAAGCCATATAAAATCATATTGAATTTATATGAAAAGCTATTCTAATTAACTTTATTGTACAACTCGAAATCATCTAATATACGATAGAATGAGTTAGTATTAGCCATATTTAAAATAATATTTCTTTTTATTTTTCTGATAATGTGTCGTATGACAGAGGTCAAGTCATAACCCTTTGAAATTCAAACAGATAATAGCTTAGATAGTTTACAAAGAAAAAAACATGCTAAACGATAAACATGTTGGCAATGTAGAAAATGAAAATATGTATGAGTAAGAGTTGCTGAGTAAAAGAAACATCAAATAATAATGTGTGAATGAAGAGAAAAACAGCAACAGTCTCAAGGAGAAACAGAGTTCGAATGAAAAAAACAAGAAAGCACGTGGCGCGATGAAATGAGCGTGAGGTGAAAGGGAGATGGGGGTAGTCAGTTTACGTGATTGTCAGTCGTATGATACCCTGATGACCGTAGAACCAATAGTAACATTGGAATAAAACAGTAAACTGTTAGAGGACAAAATACAAAAGAAAAATTTTTTTTGAATAAAATCGAGAGATCAAGTGAAAATCATAGGTGAGAGAGAAACAGAGAAATGAGGGAGGTGAAGAGCCATTTCAATATTTCTTTTACGTCTTGGCTATGTTTTTGGGCAAAACAAAAAATAGGCGAAAGAGGGCACATTGGTAAACAGGACAGAAGGCACAGACATAACGTTGTTGTTTAAATGAGAGAATTGAGAAAAAAACGTATGAAAGAGAGACAGAATAATACGAGAGGAAGAGTCAAAGAAAGAGAGTAAGAAATAAAAAAATAGAAAGAGGACAAAATGTGAGCAAGCTTAGCAGTCAGAGAGTAGAAACAGCAGAACTGCGATCTTTGAGAATTTCAATTGCAACAACAAAAAACAAGTGAAAGAGGCGAAAACAGCATAGAGACAAACGAACAAATAACAAAAATAGAAAGGAAAGAAAGTGAACAAGAAAACAAAAAAATAGAGAGTAAGAGAGAAAAAGGGCGATTTAGCATACCATTTTTTGAGAGCCCAGAGAACAAGAGAGACAAAAAGTAGGAAACTTCAAGTTTATGTGCACATATATTCACGTACACAGCTCAGCTATGTGTTTATGTATGCGCGTACGAATTGCAAAAAAACCGTTTTTGGAATATTTTGAGAAAAAATAGAAATGAAGAAGAAAATGAATGAACCCTTGGGGAAGCGAAACGTGTGTGCGTGTGTGTACGCATGTGTCTGTGTGTTAGTGTGTGTGTGTGTGTGTGTGTGTGTGTCGTGAAATATCTCGAAGCATATGCTTTATCAAGAAAAAGAAAAAAAGCTGGCTCAAAGTTATTCAGATTTCTACGACTATGCAAAAGATGTTTTCTATGTGTGTTCACATGTTGCTAAACAGCAAACATCTCATGAAACAACTTCTCTCTCGTTTCTCGCTTGTTCTGATAACATCTACTTAAGCAAAATAAGCAGAAAAACTTGGAAATATTTTAAAATTCTCTTAATTTGAAAATAATCAGATTTTCTAGTGATGAAAAATAATAGCCTTTCGATTGAAATGAACACAGATTAATTCATTTCATTCATGAAAATTGTTCAAATGTCAAGCGTATAGGATGACATAAGAACAACATCTATATGAAAAAGATATCATTTCACATATAAACATATATATATATATATATATAATATATATATATATGTGTGTGGATAACATCTTTGTATATTATCTTTCCCGCGCGCATAATTTGTAGATCAAATTTTCATTTTGAGAATGAACGAAAATGCAACAAAAAAGAAATAGTTTTGAAATAGGCAGGTTAAGTTAAGATTTTTGAGAGATTGAGAAGCACAGAATGAGAGAGAGAGAGGAGAATATCTATTTACAGAAATGCTTATTAATAATTAAAAGAAATTAAGCAAATTATGAATTAGGAATTTTGAGCATTTGATGAGAAAAAAAAACAATTATATAATAAAATAATGAAATTAATAAAAGTCATAATATCGCATAGTAGAATTATTGAGTTGATGATCATGAACCACTCATGATTCGGATCACCAAGGCTACAACAGTGTCTCTCCTCATGAAACGATTGCGATTTTGTTGTTGTGTGTATGTGAATGCCAAAGCATAACAACAGACATTTTTGTTAAACATTGAAACAGACAACATTTGAGTTTTTCTTCTTTCCAAGCAAAATGAAACTTTTTGTTTCATCTGACTGAGAAAAAAGAAAACAAAAATGTTTTAATGAAGAGACATTTGAATGCTTTTTTTTGCAACTTCATTCAGATGCTTGCTCACAATGTTATTTTCATCAACATGATACATTGATTAACGTTTAGTTGTTTACACTTCTCTAAAGTGCAGAGAAATCACAGAATCTGCACCATGAAGATATAAATATATGCTCATATAGAGTACACTGATGGCAAGCTTTTCAACCATGTTACATCAGAAAATTAATTTTCTGCATGTTGAGGGAACATGTGCGGGGGAGAGAGAGAGAGATAGTAAGAGAGATAGAGAATAGGAGTGAGAGAAGTAAATAATCAGAAACCCATAAACTTCAATAAACTTAATCAATCTGGTGAACTTAATCAACCCCTCCCGCTTTTTTCCTTTTCTCCTCCTACTGCTTCCCCCTTCCACCTTGAAATGAAAAAGAATGAAAACAAAACAAAAAGTTTTTCAAAACAGGCAACCTCAATTTATGGTAATTGGCAGAACCAATAACTATTTATGTAATAATAGATCTATCTGCTGCTTGAAGAACGAAAGCGATTTAGATTCCGTCTGAGAGTTGGATTTCATTTTCAAAATCCAAAATTCAAAACGAAATGTTGTTCTGGCATGTATCGAAAAAAAACAACAATACGGAATTTCTATTTTCCAAATCGTTTCCAATTAAGTTTTCCATAAACCAAGTAGCTGTACATAGTGCAACTATTACGTCAAACCGTACTTATTAATTTTTCAAGAGAATGAGCAGACCAAAGTTTCGAATGACGAACGAAACAAGTCAACATGACAAAATATGTTTGAACATATTTTTGAAATGAAATCATCTTTCATCATGTTCATTCAACACTTTTCAAAAGCTTAGGAAAAGTGAGAGTAACTGTTTACACCTATCAATTAACAATTAACGCGTTTCAGTAGCATATCTGAGCTTTAGAGAGAATTAAATACTTATGCCGATGTTTATATGTTTTCATTCATTTCTATCGCCTATTTATAATTTTCTTGTATTTGATAACAAAAACATGGTGAGAGAGGAAAACAAGAAGTTCAACAATCATAGTTCTTTCCCTCTTTCCTTCTACCCACCATACATACACATACCCTGCCAATGGTTTGTGATGCAGAAAACGCACATCATTTTCGTAAACAGAATGCATGTGACACGTAAACAGTGGATAAGAAACAACATTGAATGTTTCATATTGTAAACTCAATGTGAAACATATGAGATGTGAGATGAAAAGAAAGAAAATTACACGAAAAATATATTGGAAAATGAATGATATAGAAGATGTATTTACTGAAATACAAAAATTCCATGCGCGCGTTTTCTAAGTACAAGAAGATATACGTTTGTGATCGGATAAAGGGCAAACTCTTAACAAAAGAAAAGCATGATAGAGAAAACGAGATAAAACTAGAGTACGCAGAAAAGTGGAGAATAAACTGCGAGAGAAAACAAAAACAAGCGAATTAAACAAGAGAATCGCGAAAAAAAAAAGAAAAAAGAGAAAAATAAAAAAACAGAAGTCTGACAATATTTGTCAGCTGGGAAAACGAAAGCTGGGGATGGTAAGTGTTGTTGTTAAAACCAAATTTCATTACACTTAGAATATAAGGTTCTGAAAATGCCAGCGTTCTTGCAGCCCAAACAATGTCATTTCAAAATTCTGATAAATTCAGAAATGCAACATATACTATGTGTATGACCTTATTGAATGAGCAAAACTCTAGTAGCAAAAGATTTGAGGTAAAATACTAGTCCAGCGAAAGAGGGAAAAGATATTTCTTTTTTAAGCTGCGGTAACCTTATTGTTAGAGCTTATGGCATGAAAAAGTATGGGAGAAGCTTATCTCGAACTTTGATTTAAAAATACTCAAGTCCAAACATCAAAATAGTCCATAAAAAAAAATAAACTAACGTCACTTCAGGTAACTCGTCTGACTTCCTTTGGTGTTACCTTGAGAGTACACTCGGCTTCCAGAACAACTTCTATCAGGGTCCTTGATATAGCAGCATCAGCATTCGAATTATTGGCCAATTTGATGGAGCAACCACTACCTCTGAATAAGGTACAATATAAATGAGTTGAAACCATTTTTATTTTCAAACAAATATACTTGCAGTTTTGAAACAAAAACTATTAACTAATTCCAAATATTTTTGCAATCAAAAGTTTCAGATAATATACATGGCATCAAAAAAACAGTTATTTCAAAATCAACCAACCACTCACCTACTTTGCGATTTTAAAATGAAGTAACTATACGAATTCAAACTAACGCGGCTTTCACGTATGCTAATGACGCTAGAGTATTCTAATTTTCATTTAATAATGTTTGGCGCTAAAAATAAACAACAGAAAGTATAGATGGAAGGGTCTAAATTGGATTAATTAAAATACATGGGAAGAACATAAGTCTTGCAGATGGATTTTATTCTCGTGCCAGATTATGATGGAGGGATGGAGAACTGGGGACATGTTCTGATTTCAAGAGAGCTGGCAACTTCTGGAGATGATGCTCATCTTACATATGTAATTGCTCATGAATTAGCTCACCATTGGATTGGAAATTTGGCTACTGTAGATAGCTGGCAATATGTGTGCCTTCAGGTGGAGAAAGCTTGAGAAATACAAAAAAAACATTCGATGTTTAGGAAGATTTGACTGATTATATTGCTTATAAAATAGTTCGGGCTCTACTATCGGATGATGAAAGATATGCACGTTTCCGGCTCTCCAAGTATGTGGAGATTCAATTGGCAGAAGATTTTATATCTCCTGGACATTCTCTCTTAATGCCTGAAGCATTAACAAAAGAAATGGTAATGAACCTTTTTATATTAAAAGGTTTGAAAAGAATTCTTCAGATTTCTTCGCATTGTTATTTGAAAGGAGTTACCTATCTCGAATCGTTGGAATCAGTTGTTGGGGAAGAATACATGTTTACTGTTATTCGAAATTTAGTTTCTCGTTATCCGTCCTTTAACCTAACAACGTTCACAACATATTTTGAAGAAATTAATATCGAATACAATATCACCTTGGGACAGGTAAATAGATGTTTTTTGTTGAAAAAAAATTAAACCTAACCATTCATAGGTTTACCAATATTGGTTCACAACTGGTGGATTACCGGCTGTTTATGTACAAAACAATGGCTCGACTTCACAAATTACTCAATACTCAAGTGTACTTTGGCCTCTCAGGTCTGAAATCTTCGTAATTATGAGGATTATTACGACATTTGTAGGATCGCAGCCACAAATCCTAACATTACTCCCCTTCCGGACTTCATGTTCACGCAAACTCTGCTCCATTCAACAGAGCCAATTATTCTCAATCTGAACTTCACTTCATTCTTGCGAGTCAATTATGATCTTGATACTTGGTCCTCTATATTCAAGTATAATTTCTGACAACAAACACATTATTACGTAGACAATTTCAGTTTCATGTCCAGGGACCCCACTATATTTTCTACTGTAGGTAGAGCTCAACTTGTTTCTGACTTCTGCTACTTCTACTCTCAAGCTCAAATACCAGGAAGTTCCGAATTGAGAGATACGGTTATAGACATAGTAAAGCTTTCATGTAATAGGTCTTTACATGCTAATCTTTGCAGGTGTATAGTCATCCAGAATCTTTCGATCTATGCGATTGGAATCTGTACTGGTGCTACTCATCCAACGATGTTTCGTTGTTCTCAACTATTATCCGTCAACTCATGAATGGGTTGACAAATCTGTTCGAATATGATTCAGCCTTTGGCTGCAGAAAAGGACACGCAGTGAAAAGGGTTAACAGCTTCTGTGACTCGATCTTCGGGAAAAAATGTATTTGAATCCGGTTAAACTGATACTCAACTGTTCATATTGTCAGCCTACAGCGCTATTTCTTCAATAAAACTTTCTTGTTCAACTTGTTCGACGAAATGATGCTATTTAAGCGTGAACTACCGCTGCTGGACAAAACAATCACACGATTTCCCTCCGCTCGATCTCGAAGTACAGAACTTTCTATGTTTCACAATCACCAATAGTGTAATAACAAGTTTATTCTCAACAAACATCTTATTCGTTATCACTGCCATCATCCTCATCTTGGCTGATGTGGAAGTAACGGAGCTCATAGGTGTTCTTGTTGATAGCAACAACACGGAGCCAGTCTCTGAGGGAGTGTCTCTTCAAGTATTTCTTGGTAAGGTACTTAAGGTATCTAAGAAAATAGAATTAAAAAGAATTCAACTTGTTCTGCTAACCTCTTGGAGAATGGAATCTCAGCAATAACGGAGATCTTGGTCTTGGCAACTTCAACCTTAACATTGTTGCTGGCGAGTTGTCCGGTCTTACCATTGATCTTGATGCGCTCATTCAAGAAAGCTTCCTAAAACAACGGGACTTACTAGGGAATTTGCCCTAAGCCCGAAGAGGACAGAGGTGATTAAGACTTACGAAATCTTCAATCTTGACGATACCATCTTCAACGGGGTTCTTGCATTCAACATTGAATTTAAGATGGACCTTCTTCTTTCTAAGGACCTTCTTCCCCTTGACAGCCTTGGAGTTCTTGGCGACGGGCTTGACAGCAACCATTATTAATACCCTACAAAAAAAAAATGAAGGGTCACATTAACACAAAGTAATAAGAGAATACAAAATTAGGAATTAACTAATATAATAAACACAGAATAACAGGGAGCAATACATAGAAAATGGCCTAAAAATGTCAACTGTTAAAGGTTTCGTTCTTAACTTTCGCTTCAGGACCATTTGTCAAACTTTCGACATTTTCGTTCACACGCTAACAACTAAAGTTTGAAAAAAGAAGTGAAAGTAATAATTCGAAAGTAATAAAGCGTTATGAGGTAAGTAGCTTGTACCAATAAGCTTCATTATGTTCCTTCTCATATTTTAATATAGCTTGTTCACTATTTCTCGGATGTTTAGAACTTTACATTCAAAAATGGAAATTTATTTCTCAGACTTTCGAAATCTTTGATTTTATATTTGTAGCTTGTTTTACTCTATCGTGATGATGAGTGCTTTGAACAATTAATAACAGTTCTATTTGAATGATTTGACGGCAATCTTTTACTTGCATGTATCTCTATAGCATCATCGCTTCTAGTTCTGATGGCATGGCTGATCAACCATCAACTTCTCAATCTATCCCAAGTTACGGAGCAAGCGGTCATAATGAAACTCAATCACAATCAAATGCTGCCGATGTAGAAAATGTTGAAATAGCTAATGAAATAGTGAGTGGAAAACTCAAGGTGTAGAGGAAACTTTTGTTATAGTATGCCGAGATCTCTCCTGTTCCAGCTAATTTTGACCCATTATACAGTAATACAGCCGATGGAGAACAAACAGTTAGCACAAAGTGTCAATTTTATCATTTATAATTATATCAGAATATTCCTTCATTATATGGCGAGGTTTCCCAAATACCTCAAGGTTGTGAGTTATGCGAGAATATGAGAAGTAGTTGTCGAAGAATTATGGATAGTTTTTATTTAATGGCAAAAAGATCAGCAAATTATGAAGAGATTAAGGAGGTGTGTCGCTTGCGAACCTGCTTCGAGTAAAATGTAACTTTTTAGGAAAATTCTAATTTAAGACGTCAATTAGGAGATACTAACAAATTCGTAGAAGATAGGCTTAAAGATGTGTTCTCATTACAAACAGAACTCAGCACTCTGAGGGTGGATGCTGGACTGGTTCATTTACACTCTTATTCGAAGATATTGTATACAGATATTCAGGCTAAGCAGAGGGAAGAAGATTTATTGAAACAAATCCAGATTCTCGAAGCCAAAGCTAAGGAGTCTAGAGTAAGAGTTTTCGAAAAGTACTGTGTTAGATTTTACTTCAGGAGCATGCTCACGCAGCGAATGTGTGGAGGGAGAAGTATAGTCGTTCTGTAGAGGTAGCCGAGCAACTGCAAAACAAGCGGTTAGAGATTGATAAGAAGTTAAGGGATGTAATAGAAATAGCATCATCTAATAAGAAAAAGTACAGGTTCACTTATTCAAACTCTCAGTATCATTTCTCTTCAGAAAAGAAGATTTCGAACATCAGGCAGAAACTCTCAAGAAGGAAAAGAAAGAACTAACCATTTATAATGGACAATCTAAAAAAGCTTTGCCCAAACTGTTTCAACTTCTTGATGAATTAGGTTAGGTTATTTCTTTTTTCTTTTCATATATTGTTTGTACAGTTAACGAAAGTCTGAACCTTCCATTGTTGCTGTCGAGAAAAATAGAAAAGGTTAGAAATATGTCATCACGAGCATTTCTCCTGAATCTCAAGGAACACAGCGATACTGGAAGCGATGATGGTTTGTTTTGGATTCCTAGATTATCATTCAATTCTTAATCTCAGATGCGTTGGAACTTGAAAGCCTTCTTAATCATAGCGCAGTATCAGCATCGACATCAACCAAAAAAGATGATGTGTCTTTCATTAATTCTTTTAGCCCTATGAGTGAAACTCCCAAATCTAATAACTCTAATTCAACTTTCGTGAACCAAGATGTTAGTTAATGAGCAGGTTTAGTAATTTTCATTTTTTTTTCTAGGCTATTAACGCTTCAGCGAGAAAGTCTCACTATGGCACTTCGCATGCTAAAACTCCCAAATTCAAGCATATTTCTAAACCTGAACCTGAGAGAACACCTGGTTTGTCTTTCAATTTTTTTCAATATTCGACTCCCAATTTGTTTAGCCTCACATATACCATCCAAGTATTTGTCTACCGCTCCGGTACCAGTATCTAATCAGCCTGAGAGTAAGCTCACCTCAGTTGTGAAGTATCTTTTGATCTCTTTTGAAACTCTTATATTTTTTTTATTCAAGTACTATACACGGGAAAAAAGGGAAAACTGTCCGAGAAATTCAGGAAGAACAACGCTTTAAAGGATCTGTTAAAGAACGAGTGGCGGAGATGAAACGTTTGAAAGAGTTAGAGAAGGTTAAAGGTAAGATAAGCGTTGCTTGTGATTTTACTTTTCCAATTAAGGTGATTCGAATGATGTGTGTAGGAATAATCCGCATGCAAGTTCCGAAGATGCAGGCCGTTCTACGTATCAAGGTATAATGCTTTAAAAATTCTCATCAGCATATGAATATGATTATAGGTACCACAAAGCAAATCAAATCGAACACTTCTTCATTTTCTGTGCCCGCGGCTCAGCATCGTTCCTCGTTATCTGGAAACGCTGGAGAGGATCTTGATTTTGAGGATATCGGAGATGAATACTTTTCTGTACCTGATCAAGATTGCTACCAGGAATCGGAAACAGAAGCAAACATTGTATTTTCTATCATTTGAAATGCAATACTTCATAAAATCATTCCAGACTACCACTGGTAATGGTGTTTTCAGCACTTTGGCGGATGATTTGAATATGAGTGTTTCTGATATTGGTAGCGCTGTTGATTCTCTGGATATCATGGAAAGGACAGGTGTGAATTTTTCGTTTCGTTTCATACTGATCAGTTTTAAGCCGAAGAGATAATAGAAAACGTCATTGAGGGTTTGCTCAGTGATGTCGAAAAGTTAATGGGATCTCATAAAACTCGTGAGGTAGGTAACAAATGTCGTGCTTATATGATCGTACTTTTCAGGATACTTTATCCACTTCTTCGCTGCCTGAAGGTATCGAGGAACCCCTTTTCATATCCAAAAAGGCTTCTCATGAGAAGGTGGATAATCCAAAAAAAATCATTGATCGTCTATCTGACACTCGGAAAAATGAAAACAGCAATGTGAACCGTTTGTTAGGCTCACGAGATGTTGTCAGCGATGGGTCATCCGTCAACATTCCGAAGCATGAGAACTCAACAGGTTCTAAGGCGGGGAGCATGAGCGCTCGTTCTCAAGAGATGCCACAAAAGCCAAATCCACCGAATGAGTCAAAGAAAGATAACGATAGATCAGTTATTTCTATGAAGAGCATGACGTGTGTTGAGCCAACTATCCCGGAAATGAATGAGGAGCGCAGAGGTTCGTCGAAGTTTGACCGACAGCTCACTTCTGTAGAGAATCAAGCGTCTCTCCATAAATCATCCATAAGAACCGTAGTTGGGAAGCGCAAAAAAGACGAGGAGTCTAAGGAAACTGATGAGGCAACCTCAAAACCTTCCGAAGGCAAGAGTCCAACTCTTCCCTCTGAGCCAGCTCTCCGAGAAGAACCTCATTCTAAAGCGAGTAATGAGTCTGATCCCCAACCCGAGTCTGAATGTCTTCTTCAAGCCGAATCAAGATCACCGGAAAATAGCATGATAGATATGCTTTTGAGTTTCAATGATAGCGGTTCAGACGAAGTTTCCAAACTGAAAAGGAATGTCTGTAAGTTAAAAACTCCTTGTGCAGTGGCTTCAAAAGTGGATTCTTCAGTGGTAAGATACTTGATTCGGTTACTCTCGCTGAGCACAATGTTTCAGCAGAAGAGAATCAAAGCTGGCTCTGAAGTTGGTAATTTCATTTTTTCAACGCCTAAAGATATCCCTGCAAGCTCCCAAACTATTAGGTTCAACACACATTTCTTATCGCATTCAATACTGTTTTCCAGATCTAAATGGGCTGATGGTGCAAAAAGGGCTTTGGACATAATGAACAGAATCAACGAAGAGCTTCAACCAGTTCTGGATTCCATCCCATTGAGTCCAAAGATGAAAATGTCTTTTGATGCTTCAACTAATCTGGATACGTCTGAGAATACCCTGTTCAGTACTTCGGGAGGATTGAGTAGAAAGAATCAGCAAACAGAAGTGGAGACAGTATCTATAATGTTTTTGATTTACTCGGTTGTAGGAACTAAAAAATTTGGGATCAAACGATAAGGAAATTGCTAAAGATACAATGAAGTCATCGGGAACGGCAAAGAGAGTCTCTAGAATTAATACAGTTCCACAATCGTCCAAGGTATTTCTCTAAATTCTTATTTCCCCCACACAATCGTTTTAAGGTGTTGTCAGATTCTAAGACGTCAAAGTTGAAGCTGGATCAGAGAGACGCTAAACGAAGTAGTCTAGGCGAACTGACGGAAGAAGACGAATCTATCACTGCCAGGCTACGTCGAAGAGCTGTAAGGAAACTATCAAATTAATTATTTCTTTTTTTTCTAGGCTCTGTCGATTGCTCAACCTCAAAAAATTGTTGCTGTGCCTAATCCTTCCACCGTGCCGAACACCAAAACAGTTTGTACAGGTTTTGTGCGGTTGTGAAGAGCATTATTCCAGGGAGAATCTTTGTTGAAGTGCATGAAGCCGGAGGAAAAGAGATTGGACTCGAGTCTTCGTAAACAGCACGACTCCAAGGATATCAGTAAAAGTTCTGTTTCCAATAATGCTGGTAAAGTTGATTTGAACAACCATATACTTAACGAATTTTTCAGCTGTTCCTTCTGACGCATTTTCTGGATTACGAAAGAACACCCGAACACGAGTAACAGCTTCTGTAAGTTTTTTGATATTTTGTTCGTTTCCACTCATCTCATAATTAACAGAAGAAAACAGCTGATCCAGTCGTATCAAACGATCTTAAGCAAAGTGCTACGAGCTCCATGATTAATTCGCAAGTAGAAACAAATCAGGTTAGAAACTCTTGTGATGTATAATCAGCTTAACTATTTCAGGAATCAACTTCATCAACGAGCGCTGATACTGATGACGATAGTGATTTAGAGATTGCTGATCTTCCAAATTCTAGTAATGAGTGTGATCAAACTATCGATGAGACAGCTGGAGACGCTGAAAGTGGTACTACGAGCATAGACTCTACCAGCAAACAATTGGAAGAAGTAGTTTCTACAACAGATAAAACAGGGATCTCTTCTGTTTCTGAATCATATACCCCTGATAACACATCGCAAAGTCAGACTGATCCTAAGCTTTTGGAACCTCATCAAACAGAAACAGACATTTCTGCCCCTACTGTGAACAATACGGCAACAAACAGAGAACAAGAAAATTGCTCAAAAGGAAATTCCCAAAAATTAGTTCCTCAAGAAAACATCAATGTTCCTCTACCAAGAATTGAGCGGAAGTCTACTATTGTGTCAACAGATGTATCTGATCTCCATATCGACGCGTCTGATGATGATGAAGAAGAAGGATTGACTTTGGACATCGGTAAGCTTAGTATTAGTTGTTACCATTGATATTAAATGTTTAGACGATGAAGAAAGGGAGGAGCCTGTGGCTGAAGAATCTTCGAAGACACCTGAGGCTCAAGAATCTCGGAAGACACCTGAGGCTAAAGACTCTCGGAAGACACCTGAGGCTAAAGAATCTCCGAAGACACCTGAGGTTAAAGAATCTCCGAAGACACCTGAGGTACAAGAAGATCCTCCACCAAGAATGCTGAGAACCAGACAAAGTTCCACATTGAAGAAAGAGGGAGTTACTCCTAAAACTTCTCCGCGAAAAAAAGTTGTTCCTGATCGAAACACCAATCAGAGCCGAGCTTCTAGTTCTGCAAAACAAACTTCTCGAGCAGCTCAGCGTCCGAGTAAGAATGATTTGTCTGCCGACGCAGCATCATGCTCAAAGGAGGAAGATAATTCACGAGCAATCACCACGATTCCTAAGAAATCTGCACGCCCGTCCAAGATTTATGACATTAGTCTCTTGAATAAGTTCACCCAGTCTCTGGGACGCGGTGGTCGACTGCTGAGCACGAGATCGAAAAAACCTCCAAACGCAGTAAACACTAAGGAGAAGAAATCTACTGCTCGAGAATCTATATTGTTGGACATCCCGAAAACACCTATTGTCCGACAAACGGCTGATCGTAAAGGAGTAAGATTTGAATTGAAGTTCAGTAAACTATGTTTTTTAAGCTCAAGAGAATGCATTTGCCGGGTACAAACATACCAATTGCGAAGAGGGGGAAAAGGTCGCAGGGGCTAAGTATTGAGCGTTCTGAAGGCGAAATGGCGAAGGTAGGAAGACACAATTTCTTAATGCTCACTTACTTTTCCAGGAGTTTTTTTTGAATGCTGGTCTTTATTTAATAAATATGAGAACTTCGAAAGATAATGCTGTTGCTTCTGTAATCGAAACTTATCTCACCGAGGAGCAACTGGCATCCATTAAACAGTTATCCATAGAAGATTTAGGCAGTGTATTAGTCGAAGTGAGTAGTTTCTCCAAGTTCTTGATTCATAATCTGTACGATAGATTGTTTATAACATGAAAAATGTAGACCTGTTCCATCAGGTTAAGCTTTCGTTCCAAGAACGGAGTATTAAAGAAATTCGTAATAAGGAGGTAAGCTATGAATACAATTATCTTGACTGTTTCCATATAACAGGAGGAGCACGTATTAGAATTGGCTTATCTTCTTGCAAACGGGAACATATTTATATCATTTGTTAGGTGAGTTCGAATAATTCTAGCTTGTTTATGTTAAACAAATTTCTTTAGATCTCTTGTACAAAGACTTATCACACAGGAAACAATCAATCCAAATCAGTGTGCTTCATATGCTAGACTCATGTCTCATGCTTTACTTTTTGACGTTTGTAAACTTTTTGTTGCTTAAATTGGTGATATTTTAGTGTGCAAACGTTGAGGAAGATCTCAGAGCCTCAGATGAGGAGAGATCACGATTAGTTCGAACTTTCTTCAATACTATTTTCTGGAAACACAAGGTGCGCATTGTTCAGAAGTTGGATCATTTTCGTTGGTTTTAGGCATGTATATCGCACGCTCTAATTTTTTGGCTGATAGGAAACTCTTGGGAACTATTAAAGTTTTTAGCGGATGATCCAACTTTGAAGAAACTCATTGTCGCTCATGTTGAGGTTATCTTTCTTTTCAACTTAACTGTTTCAACTATCCTGCTTCAGAAGTATGAACGTGAAATTATTCAATGGGCCTGGGCCTCCAGATTCGGTGAGGCAAGTGCGAAAGCTGTAATCCCAGATGATGTTTGTTCTTTTTCCATTAGTTTTCATAAATATTTTCCTTAGGTCTCATTAAGAATAGAAGAATGGATCGCTGAAGAAAAAATGAATATGGAAGAGTTGATTCCTACAGAGACGGCATTCCTGATCAACGAAAACGACCAGGTTAAAGTATGTTCGCTCATACTTCGTTTCAAGCGTAATTCTATTCTTGAAGATTTCCCCAGAAGTTTCGAAGTCACTCAGGATGCAAGCTGTTCTATATAACAGCACAAATTTGCCACCGGATTTGTGTGAGAAGCATTTGAATGAGTGCTCTTCATTATTCCAGGAAGCTCTCAATGATCTCATAACCTCTCTAAGTACTGGAGATACGAGTAATAGTTCTTTACATTCATTCTAACTATCAAGTAATTGTTTCAGGCGCTCTTTTTGCGGACACAACAAACACTAAAGGACGGTCCTTAACTGCTGTTAAAGTTCATGAACTATGCGTTAATATAAAATCATTCGAAAGCATAATTGGACATAGTTTGTTGGAGAGAGAATCTACTAAATACAGACGAAGTCTGGATATTGTTTCCCGAACACTAAACAACGTAAGAAAAATATTTTATTTTCTATTAAAAACTTTTTTTGCAGATTCGATTCATTAGAAATACTCTCAGAGAGGATCCTGATATTCCTTTTTCGAATTTGCTTTCTTCTGTTATAAATACGTATATTACTTTAGCTCAAACTTTCACAAGCCATACTATTTAATTTTTGACGTTCTATAATTTGTAAACTTTTATACGCCTTGCTTTCTCAGTTGGCTCGAAGATATTCTCAAACAATGACGGGTAGCCCTACAAACTCATTTGTGAATTTTTGATGTCGTGTATATTAAAACGTCCGGTGTTTTCATGAGATTGTTCTCCATTTTTTTATCGATAGATAAAGATAGATTTATTTTTAAAAGTTCTAATTATTAAGATGTCCATCTTCTTGAATTTACACTGATTGTTACCTTGCTCGCAACCTAGTATTATGTTTTTTCAACGTATTTTGTGTTGGTGTGATATAATTCCCTTGAGCAAACAAGTTCATTTTTTAAAAATCGATAAAAAAAGATTTAATGCTCTTTATGTCACAGGAAAAATTTTTCTGATTATAGCATTTCTTAATTATTCTCAAGATTTTATGCAGAAGCTCATCTCATAATTCATTGCGCTTAACTTATGAAATGAAAAAGCTTAGCCCATAACCCACCGCTCATCGCGCTTAACGCAAAAAATGGAAAATTCTAGCCCATCGCCAACCGCTTATCGAGCTACATGGGAGAAATGAACTCATAGAACCGTTGACAATGCTACACGTAATCCAAAGAATACAAGCTTGGTATAGCATTCGTTCTCTTTGCATGTCACTTTGGATTGCTCTCCATTATTCCATCTATTGATGAACGCAGATTCATTTCGAAAACTTCTTGATTCCGATGTTTTCTAAGATGTTGATCGCTGTCTCTTGCTATGTGACCGCCCACTCCTATATTTCACTTCGCAAAGATAGAGTCTCCTAGCGTTTTGAACTCTTATTTTTTTCATCGTATGTTGTGTTGATGTTATCAAATTCCTTCTTTCATAAGATTTTCTACCAAAAAAATCAATAAACATCACTTTACCGTTTCTACGATTATGTAGACACTGATAAAAGCGGCGCCAAAAAGATTTCTTCATTGTGAGTGCTTGTTTTAAATACGTGGCTTAAGGGTTATTTGTATTTTTCACACAACCATAAAGTCCCTATTTGCACACTTGGTGAACAGTTAATTTATGAAACAGTTCATGATGGTTCTATTATTTGTCATAGAATTTTGACGTCGATTCTTGAATGTTCCATTTTATTCTCTTCGTATCTTCGTGACAAGACCTTAATTTCATTTGGATGAGTTTTATCTCAGATCTGCAGAGGTTTTTTGTTGGAGACCATGAAAACCTTTCCTATCAATATGTGTGCTAGTTGATTATCTTTCCCGCTGTGCGTTGTGACCAAACAGTAAAGGCAGTAGTATGCGCAATCAACGCAGAAATAACTTAACTATATTTCAACGGTTTGCTGGCGCCTCTATGTTCTTCTTATTTGCTGTATTTCTTTTGTATCTTTCTATAAACATAAGGTATATAACTTTTTTTCGAATGCGCGTACGAGTAAAGTACATATATACTCGACTGAGTTAAATTATATTTATCAAATTAACATTTTCAAACAATCACGTCATCAGTTTTTAAAATTCGGCGCATGGTTTTGTGGGCGCGGCTTGCGAGCTCTTAATATTGCTTTTATTTTTATGATATCGGGTGTATTATCACTTTCGTTTATTTACGAAATGGTTGCCATGGAAATTGTGATGTTACTAATAATCTTCTTTCGCCCTCCAGATGTTGTCATCACGGGTAGCATGCTTTATGGGGTGTGCGGCTTCATCTCAGACTTCCATTTGCCCAATATTCAAATCATTTGCATCCAGACAAGCATCAAACTCAGTAGTTCCAGTCGCAAATATGTTTAGATCTCAGAAGAGCGCTTCATTACAAAGGTTAGAAATAAGTAATCGATCTTCTATATATGGAATGAGTAGGTCTCTGATAAGCTTCCCTATTCGAGTTTCCGGGTGAGCTAGAGTGTGTGTTAAAAATAAATTGTGTTTATTGAGTGCTTAAGAGATTTAATGCTAATGCCTCGCTTAGTTTCGGATTTCTTTCATTTCGAGATATTCATATTTTGTCGTACGGTTGTTCTACATCACAGCCGCTGTGTTATGATATGTGGCTGTTATGTGGCTCATGCCTTCTTGATGAACCTAAGTTGGTCTTGATATTATTTCATGTATTTGGTTTCAAACAATTTAGTTTTAGTTTTCATATGATGATATAGTCTAATATGATAAGATCTTTTCAGGTCGCCCATATCCAACACAGTTGTTGCTGGTGCAAGCATTCGAAAAATGTCATCCCCTGTAACTTATGAAACCATTGAGCGTGGATCTCTCTATTCACTCAACTATCGATTATTTATAAGTGAGCCTGGAATCCTCTTCCCCTCTCAGTTGTTTTTTTCCAGAGGGACCCAACGGAGTCGTTTCACCATGGCACGATATCCCACTTTATGCTGATGAAGCCAACAAAATTTTCAATATGGTTGTTGAAATTCCTCGTTGGTCCAATGCTAAAATGGAGGTGAATCCTCTAGTTTTCATTCAGTCATCTTTTTTTACGTTGAATTCAGATGGCAACAAAGGAACCACTTAGTCCTATTAAGCAGGATGAGAAGAAGGGAGTCCCTCGTTTCGTTCATAATATTTTCCCACACAAGGGATACATTTGGAACTATGGTGCTTTGCCACAGGTTTTTCGATAGTTTATAAACTCTCAGATAAACGTTATTGCTAGACTTGGGAGGATCCTGAGCATGTAGTTCCTGAAACTGGAGCTAAAGGAGATAACGATCCAATTGATGTTATTGAGATTGGATCTAAAGTTCAAAAACGCGGCGCTGTAGTTAATGTGAGAAATCAATTGTGAAAGGCAATGTCTAATCTTTCTATTGAAGGTTAAAATAGTTGGTACATTAGCTCTTATCGATGAAGGAGAAACTGATTGGAAGCTCGTCGCTATCGATATCAATGATCCCGTTGCTAAAGATATCAATGAAATCACAGATGTTGAGAAACATTTCCCTGGACTTCTCAAGGCTACCGTCGAATGGTTCCGTATCTACAAAATTCCAGCTGGAAAGCCAGCCAATGAATTTGCCTTCAACGGAGAGTTCAAGGATAGGGCTTTTGCTCAAAAAGTTATTGAAGATACCAATCAATTCTGGAAGGTTCTTATCAAGGATGCTTCTCCTAAGCTCAACACGTAAGATATAGATGAATAATTGTGGAAACAATCAAAAATTCAGAGAGTGTCAAGTAGAAGGAGCTGCTCACCATATCACCAAAGAAACTGCTGAAGAGTTTGTTGAAACCAAGGCTGCTGCTGGACCTGCTGCTGACCTCCCAACTGATGTCGATAAATGGCACTTCATCGCCTGACTAAGCCAGGCGAAACTTTAAAACTTCAACTTAATATTGAATCTTGTTATTGTTTTGTTCATGCTCCTCCTTTGAAGTTGCTAATTTTTTGATTTTGCACACTTCGGGAATGATTCATGAAAATAAATTTTTGCTTGCTACAGTACGTTGTCTAGTTCATGAAGATCTTTAAAATGGAATTTGTTCATAGCTTACAACTTCCAAGGGGTCTAACAACCCTCTCATATTCTGCATCAGTCGAGTTAGAAATGGCGTGATCTGCTGGGCAAAGTTCTCGTCCTGCCCACATAACGGTCCACATAAAGGATCGAGACATTTGCCGCTCTGTGTACTATAGACATAAGATCGCTCTCAGTTTTTATTTTCTACTTTCCATAACTCGAGTCCTGTGTTTGAATTTTTTTGGCCCACATCGATCGAAATGGTCTGAGTTCAAAAACGAAACCATCATCATTTACACAGCTGTTCATTGATTTTTACGCTCCCTTTTTGCATTTTTCGAAGTTTTATTCCTTTTTTTAAAATTATAAGAATGAGGAAGACGGCGTAAATAGTAATTTTGAAACTATTACAGGTCATGACTGTGGCAACACATTTGAACCACAAAAAGGGTCAAGCGTTGGAAAGAACTGTAAGTCTCACTAGTTTTGAACTTTCTACCACCGTGTACTTAAAGAAAAATATTTCTCTAGGTCAAATTTTTTCTAAAGTTGTCTGTAAATTTTCTCCCTCTTCTATTTCCAGCAGTTTGTTCCTCGAGAGCTTGCGCAATTTTGTCTTCGCCAACGAAAGTTCTCTTCCGCTCTCTCTAACTCTCTATGCCTTCTCATTATCTCTTCTTGTGGAAGTACACACAAATGATCGAAGTGATAGATCACGCCATTTCAGTTGCGAAGAAAGATCGGTCTTTCTCTTTTTTTCGATTTGAGCGATTCTAGGTTGCCATTGAACCGGTCTTCCAGTTCATATAAGCATTCTATTTTTTATTCACTTTGCTGATTCGCGTAGGAGTGAGGGAAGAAATAAACTTAGCACTGTCGGCCCCTAGTTTATCTCATAAAAAATGTAGATTTTGAAGAAAACTACGAAAGTTCGTTCCGGTTCTACTTTTGTCTTTGAACCATTTCTCGGGAAGTGAGCTAGGATTCGATGAATTCTTGTATAGTTTACTCGTCAGCCTATTTGCTCTGACCTTTTCGAAAGTTAAGATTGTTGTCTTCTAAGGTTCTCATATATTGTGAGCGCGAAAATGCAGAGGTACTGATAAACAATGAAAAAAGACAAAAAAAGATGAAGTGATGGTTGGGAAACTAAAACAAACTGCATGTTTAGGCAAGATCACTGAGGTCTTTTCATCTCTTTTGTTCAAGTGTACGACAAAGTCAGTCCTCTTTTGAAAAATTATTCTGAACTCACATTTCATCGTTCGATTTGAGAAGAATAAAAGAGAAAATCTAGAAAGAGAGAGCAATCTATTATATCTCAGAACATTATCGAGTCATATATATTACTATTATTGAAAATCTTTACAGGAGGTTCCTAAACTTCCAACAGTGGATGAGGTCCGCAAGGCTGTGCCGGCGGAGTGTTTCAAGAAAGATGCCATGAAATCCATCAGCTACCTCATCTTGGTGAGTCAGAGTTTATTCAATATAAAAAACATTTCGTTTATAGGATTATGCTATTCTTGCTGTCATGTATCTTGCTTTGCCTACAATTGAACATTATACGGGTTTTGTTGGACTGTTTGCTTGGTACGTCTCCATTTCATATCTTCTTCTGTAGAGTCTGATTGAAAAAAAAATTGGAACACGGAAGTCCTTACTGCAAGCTTCTGAGTTCATTTCTTCTTCAATGAATATAGTGACTATTCATTCCTCTTTATTTGGAATGACTAATATATATATATATATGCATTATATTGTTGCCAGAAGTGTGAACAGTTTTTATATCAAGCTTAATATTTCAGGTATTGTCTTTTTGGATTCGTAGGTAGTGCTCTTTTTGTTGTCGGACATGACTGTGGTCATGGATCTTTCTCTGAACATGAATGGCTCAACGATCTGTGTGGGCATATCGCTCATGCTCCCATTCTTGCTCCATTCTGGCCATGGCAAAAAAGTCACCGTCAACATCATCAGGTTACTAAGACAAGGATTGCCAGAGTAACTTGTATTCTATAGTATACATCGCACTTGACGAAAGACATGGGACATCCATGGGTTACAAAAGAAGACTACGATTCTAGAACTCCAATCGAGAAATATTTTGCTGCTTTCCCCTTATCAGGATGGTTAAGGTTCGTTGCCCTCTTATCAAATGATCACGTTCTGGGGTTATCTTGAATTTCTGGTGTGATCTTTGAATGGTCTCTTGCAAAAAAACATTTTTAAAGATATGGCAAGTGAAATTTACATAGTTTATTCAAAATTGTAAAGTAGAAAGTCAAGCGTAGTCCCTAAAGCGTTCTGCATTCTTTTCGCCAACCGTTTTTCTTAGGAAAAACTTCTTGAAACTTTGAACAAAAAAAGATCAAGAAGTGCACAAAAATCATGACTCACATGTTAAATTTTGTTCTGTGAGCTTGTCCCTGTTCACTCATTTCCACATATGATTGTTAGTTCTTACGCGAAGGAATGTAGGTATGATCAGAAAATAAGACACCTTTTTCATGTGCACTCTCATGTGCTCTGAAGAAGAACACGTGCTCTGAACATCGCTAGGCGAAAGACAAATAGCCTCCGGACAAACAGGGCTTCAGCTTCAAGCTGTTCTTTGAGTTTATAAAGTTGTTCCGAAAAATGGATTTATATGTTTTAGTGGCATTCATAACATAACTATTTTCAGATGGAACCCTATCTACACTGTAGTTGGACTTCCCGATGGATCCCATTTCTGGCCATGGTCAAAACTTTTCAACAACAACACTGATAGAATCAAATGTGTTTTCTCCGGAGCATGCTGTGCCGTTTGCGCTTACGTTAGAATCATATCATTGGACAGACAACTTTCTACTTGTTCAGATTGCTTACGCTATTGCTGGATATTCTGTATACAACTGGATTAAGTATTACTACATTCCCCTCCTCTTCCAAGGTTTAGTTCTCGTTATGATTACCTACCTTCAACATCAAAATGAAGAGATCGAGGTAATTGATAGTCTCTGTCACCATTTCAAGAAAACTCTCTCAGGTTTACGAAAACGATGAATGGTCTTTCGTTCGTGGACAAACTCAAACCATCGACAGATATTGGGGCTTCGGACTCGATACTATCATGCACCATATTACTGATGGACACGTTGCTCATCATTTCTTCTTCACCAAAATTCCTCACTATAACCTTTTGAAGGCTAGAGAGAGCATCAAGAAGGTTGACAAAGGTTTTGGGCATATATTATTTTATTATTTGATAGGTTTTGGAGCCATTAAACAGCACTCCTTACGGTTACAAATACGAGACAAACTACGATTTCTTCATGAAGTACCTGAAGTACAACTTGAGCTTGGACTTCCTTATTCACAAGAGCAAGGGAGTGATGCAGTACCGAATCGGAGTGGAGAAAAACGCCAAAGCACAGTAATTCAATGCTGAAGTTTCCTATTTCTTTTTATTTGTTTCCAATGCTCTTCTCATTTCCAAATTGTGCTTTGATACGTTTTTGAGCGGATTGCCCACTCCAAGTGTTCTTCCTTCAAACTGGTTACCTCATTTTCAAACTTTAGGCATTCATTTGCTCAGCCCTCTATGACATCACTCGGGTAATACACATGATAGTTTTGACAACAACATCCAAATGTTTACATTTGTTAGCCAACGGCAATTTTCTGAAAAAAAATAAAAAAACGAAAATACTACTATACTTGTTTTTGTCTTTTGTTCATCAAAGCTTTCTCAGTTTTTTTAATGTTAAGCTGTGCTGCTCAGGTATTATAAGGAAACCTGCCCTTTTTTCATGAAAGAAGATATGAAGAAAAAGAACAAGGAGTTCGAAGAAGAATACAGAAGCCTTTATGATCAGCTGGAACAAAAGAACGTCGACTAAATAAAGACATTGGGAAGGAGGTGTTTGAAGCTTGAGCTTCTTGTTCGAGTATTATTTCTGAATCAAAAAAGTTGATGAAAATTCGAGAGCGAAATGTTCTTTAGTTGAGAAGAAAACGATAAAATTTGCGGAAGAAATGATTAAGCTTCCAGTTTAAGGCATACATTCCGCACGTTCCTATCCGTTTTATTTCCACAGTCCGATGCTGCTGCTCGCACTGTTGCACAACGACACAGCTGAAAGCAGAAGATAAGAGTTTTATTTATGGAAGTCAAAAGACCGAAAAATCAAAAAGATTTCGGACTTCTTTTTCAAAATGTTTCAATTAATTTAATGAAAAACGATCGTTTCATCTAAGCCTCTCTCTTACAACCACACTCTGTCCTATCTACTCGGGTTTCTTTATCATCTCTCCGTCTGTACACTTGTCAAAGGACAGATTGACAATGGGATTAGTAGGTTTCTGGAGAAGAATAGCTCTTCGTTCCCAGCTTCGTAATATTTGGTCAACTGATAAGCTTTTGGTTTCAGATGACCAGAGGTCGTTGCTCTTGTCGTAGCAGACTCAGATCGTTGTGAAACAACGAAACAATCATCATAACATTCGTTGGATGAAAAAAAAGCGAAAGTCTCTTGAAATCTCGTTTTGCTCATCAGAGCTACTTATATAGAAAGCCCTAACGGAATCCGATCAGGTGGCGGTGTTTTTTTAAGATTGGAGAGATCAGAAGGCTGCGAAAATGCTTTCGAGATTCATACACTCACATGAATTTTTTTTGTATTTCTTTCTCATTCATTTATTCCATTCTTTCCACTTATTATGTACGTTGGATGAAGAAGGATTGAAACATAAAAGATATCCTGTCCAGTGCGCGAGCAAGAGCTCTTTGCCCTTCCTCTCGGACAATAAGAAATACAAAAGTCTTGTCGACAATCACAAACGGATTCTTCAGGCTAAATAGTTCAAGCAAGCAAGAGAGAAAAAGAAATAAACAAGGATTAGATGGTTGTCTATTCCATGGCTTCAGAAACAAGAGAAGATTCAGAGCTATGAATCTATTAGAGATCTTGTGTAAGTGTGGAACACTAAAAGATGAATACGTCGAGAAAGCATTTTTCTGTGAGAGGGTTACAGACAAACACAATCTTTCGGACGACGTATAAGAGCACCTGAGGATTGAGCCGGTCGTTCACAAGCTTTTCCTATGTCGACAAGAATGCATATGAGCGCGAAAAAAAAGGGCGAATCTCATACCAAATATAGAAACCGTTCGGCTGAGAGAAAGGAATGCAATAAAGGAAGATACAGTGAAGATAATCGCTTGGCTTACACTTATCTCAAAAATTCTTTTGTGGGAGAGAAACGAACGGAACATGCTCAAAAAGAGATTATCAAGGCCCAGGGGTGTCTGGTATGCATGGCGGAAAAAAAGAACAAGATTTTCACTCATTTGTTGAGTGGAGGAGCTTCAACCTCATCGCCTAATTCATTCCTTATGACTCACACAGAAACAGTTTGGTCTTGACGTCACTGTGTGATCATTAGTAGGACGAAGAGTCGGAGTCATCCATCCAAAAAGAAAAATACAAAGAAATCATACTACATTTTTGGTCGTGATGCGTATATCAAACACTACGGTTTAGCGCCAAAAAAGTTTGAAAGAAAAAAGTTGAAAATGTCTAGATGACATTTACGTTTCGCCATCAATTTGCACTTTTAACGTTATCAAATATTGGAATTGTATTTCTCCCTCATTGTGATTTGCTAAAGTTTCTAGTTTTTGTGCGGAAAATAAGATTATTGAGGCGAGAACAGCTGAGTTTGATCACCTCAATGTAAGCTTGTTGAGGAAGGCATGTGTGTGTATGTATTTATGTGCTGATGGCTCGCTCTTCAAGCTGGAACTGAGTATTTTATCATTTTCCTTGACCGCCGAATTGCGAAAGCTCCAGTTGAAAACGGGAAATGTTTCATGATAAAGCTTGAAATGAGCACAACTTGATGAATCTGTTTGTCATGCTGATTAGAGTTACGCCAACAGGCTCCATCTAATGACGTTTGACTTGCGTTTTTTATTCGAAAAAAAAGACAGAAAAAGATAACAGAATTATATAACTTTTTTTGTTCTCGAGAGCTTGAAAGACGCTTATCTTCGCAAGTTTCTAGGAAAGTTTTGCCGTATTTACGTTTTCGTCTTCGAGAACACTCAATTGGTTGCAGTGATTTGTTGAGTAGTAAACCAATTGTACCAGCATTCGCTTAACGGAACTGGAGTAAAAAGACAAACAAAATTAATAAGAATATGCTTGTACTCTGTAGGATACGTCTATAATCTGTTGAAAATCGTTAGTGATGGAGTACTTGAAACGGTTTCTCTCTGATTTTTTCGGGATTTTACATGGCTGGCTCACGAAGATAGCTTTTTGTACGCATAGTTCTTCACATTATGTGACAACAATCCTTTTTTCTTACTTAAGTATTGGAATCAGGTTCAAACAGCTCAGACTAGAATGAGGAACACTTGTATATCTGGATAGACGTCTCTAGTACTTCGGAATGTTGGTTGTTGTGATTTGTGAGAAAGGGCTGGGAAGCCGGAAAACGTTCGAATATGTAAAACATTTGTTTTCTACAAAACAATGGCATTTAATCTGTTTCTTAATTTCAATTTTGTTTGTTTTTCCAATTTTTTTGTGCTTTTTGTGAAGTAGCGGTGGGTGGGGCTACCTTGAAGTCATTTTAAAATATTGTTTTTTTACGGAAAAAAAAAACTTTTGGGTTTGTGATTGAAGAACAATAGACATGGAAGAACCGTAGCTGGAGTTTCTACAGAGAGAAATAGAAGAAAGAGAGGTTGCAGATTTTTCAAGCAGTAGGAAGACGACCGTTAGATGCATGATGAGGTTGAAAAAAGAGGAGAGAGAGATCTGAATGACGACGGTGAAAAGAAAGAACGACGAAGCAAACTGTAGCGAAAAGACTACATCAAGGGGGGTGGTGCAGACAAGCAGGCACATAAGATGCTACGAGGGATTCAAATACAAGCAGAAACGTTGAAGAGGCCCCAAGAAAGCTTCATGAGAAGAGACATCGAATCTGTAGAGGAGGTAGAAGGAACAAGGTGAAGTTAGGGGGGAGGAGCAGCCTGGAGGGCTGGGCGAGGAGGATGATCCGGTCTAACTTCAACCGAGCATATAAAGCCACTGCATTGGAGCACTAGTAAGGCATCAGCCGCATCTAGCAGCAGCAGAAGCAGCAGCATCCGAACGTTTCTAATAAGGTTTGTGTCTCCCAGTATCTCAGCTTTAAGCATTGTTGTTATTCAGAATATTTCGCTTGATTCGAAAAAATTGAACTCGACCGACTCAAGATGAGCAGAAGAAGTGTGGTATTCCTCGTAGCTCTCGCTTCCTTAACAGGTAGGTTTGAAGCAAACACATTTTCTATATATACTTTTGATGATCTTTTTTTGTTTTATCATTTATTTTTTGTAGCTATCAGTTTCGCTGAAGATAGCAAAACTGGAGAAGAAACTCCTCAGTATTGGAGAGCTATCCTTGGTGACATTTGTCAATTGCCTTCTTTCCCAAGAGCCACTGGAGATCCACACCGATACGTTGAATGTGTCCGTCAAAGCAGCTTCGCTGCCGACAGGTACAGTGCTTTATTCATCTTTGGCTATTTTACCTGTTTGAACAGTTTACTATCAATCAACTATCAATATCCTCTCTTGGGGAGATTGATATGATTCCTACGAATCGAGAGAGAGGGAGAGAGATTGGACGAAAAAGTGTCTGTAGTGCATTTAAGAAGTTTGTTGTTGACATTCCAAGTCCAAAAACTACCTCGTATCTAACTGGAAGTTGAGCAAATATTGCCTTCGTCCTGTCCTTCTGAATCTGATGTTCATTCGTAGGTGAAATTAAAAGATTTTGGGTGGGCTGACCGGTCTGATGACCTTTTTACTTTACTTTCACAATCTTATTCTTTTATAAAATAGGATTTGAGATTTTGGGAACTGCTGATTCTGAAGAGAGATGGGTGCGAGAAACATTACAGTGTCCAGAAAAAATATAAAGCTTTGACGAGAGTTTAGAAGATAATTGTGAAACGCTTGAGATGATATTCTTTTAGGTCAAAAAAGATAAGTGTGATGACCGGTTCCAATTGAACACATGAGCATTGGATGCTCAAGAAGAAACTGTTCAAATGAGAAAATACAAAGAGTGAAAGGAAGGGAGAAGGGAGAGAGAACGTTAGAGAGAGAGAGGCTTTTCTCAAAAAGAATCATCTTCATCTCTCAGTTATTGGAGAGATACAGCTGAAACGGTTTCGAAGGGCTCATATCTTCTTCGAACAGCCACGTTCTGAACTGAGAAAAGCAAATGAATATGTGCTCTCATCTGATCATAACATCTTGAAGTTCATTCACCATCTTCTTATATCTATTCCGATAAAGTTTGAAGATAACTCATGATATAATCAGTATGAAGAGCGTTAAGCAATAATTCTCTTTGATTGCTCACGATATTTCTAACCTCAAACATCAACAGCCTGAGAATGAAGCCTGAAAAAAAGACACTTTTCTTCTCGTTTTTCTTTCTCTCATGCTTTCATTTGCATTCGACTAGCTGACGATCTGTTCGAACAGTTTATGTTGTTTAGACTAGCCAGAACTTACCGAAATTGGAGATGTCAAAGAGTTTTTTGTGCAATGAAATATTGCGGTATTGACGCTCCTTGCTTCTGTTGAAACATAATTGTTTTACACGATCTTCTGATCTTCAGATGGTTTCGGAGAAAGAACTAGTAACGCTTGTGTATTCGAGAGAGAATATAAAAATAGATTTCAAAGTCAAACACCCAACTGGCTTCCCTCTCACTTTTTCACTTTTACACTTATCGTTCAAGACACGTTGATATGATATTGTATTCATCTCTTGCAGAAAGGATCTTGGAATCTGGCTTCTCCGTGAATGCCTCCCAGGCTATGAATTCGTTGCATCATCCCGCAGATGCAAAACCATCCGCTCTGTTACTCGCCAACAAGAACTCTGTGACTCTAGCAATGCTACTAGCTATCAGTTCTGCCCTAGCGAGAACCGTGCTTCCCAGGTAACATTTTTCAAAACTATATTACCACTTCCTTTCTTGTTTCAGTTCCTTGTAGAAGAAATTCGTGAGGCTCCCAGACAATGTGCCTGCCCCAACGGTGAGAGCAACTGCGTCTGCCCATCTCCCGAAATTCTCGAACCAGTAAACATCCCAATCAACTCTGCTAAGGTTCGCCGTTCCCCACAATCCAACACCGTGAGTATACAAAATTTATGATAGTATAATGTTTTGATTACTTACAGAGAATCCAATTTTCTCAATACCAAAACTGCCCATGCCCCCAATCTCAGCCTGCTTGTACCTGTGTCACCACTAATGCTCAAAATGAGCAAGTTTTGGCTTCTGTTCAATGCTGCCCATCTCAAACTCCTGCTGCCCAGCCATGTCAATGCCAACAGGCCCCACCTCAGATTGTAAGCTATCTCTCGACCCAATCATGATAACTTTCTTTTCTTCAGAACTGTCAAACAACTACCACCCAGCAACAGTACTGCCCACAACAACAACCAGCTGTTGTTCAACCACAAGCCTGCCCACTCGGTATTAACTCAATACTAGAAAGCATTAACTGACAGTGTTATAGTTCAAGGACAAGGAGTTCAGAACGCTCAATACCAAGGAATCTGCTCCTGGATGGTTGATCCTTTGGCCGTAGACCCTCAATCTCGCTCTCACTACCTTCAATGCCAACCAGCCCCCAACAACTTGTTCTGTGGACGCTGGCAACGCATGCCATGTGCCCCAGCTACAGTTTTCGACGTTCAAGCTCAAGTCTGCGTTTGGGACACTCAAGGAACTCCAGGAACTCTCCCAACCCCAGCCCCATATGTTAGCACTCAGGTAAATCAACACGTCATTTCTCATTTTCTTCTCTTGAGCTTATTTGAAAGCACGAGAACGTAACGAACGGTTGTGATTTCAAAACTTGTTTCCAGGCTCCTCAGAACAGCGCTTGCGGATGTACCGGTGGTGTTCAAATTGGTTCCTGCAACCAGAACTACCAATGCCCTGGACAATCTGTTTGTCAAGTTGGACAAAATAACGGAAACCAGGTGAATTTGTGCATTCTTAATTTTGTTCACGAAACGGCTTGTTGATTTTTTTTCTTCCTGCTTTCAATTTCAACTTTCTTCTAAGCATGCGGTATCAGAGTTCAGTTTTTTCTCATAGCTCAAACCGCATACTTTAAAAGACAAATGGAATCTTCTCTTTTCGGGCCACCCGAACATAGCGATCAACAATCAGAACATCATACACGTCACCTTTTTTCATTTCTTCTTCTCTTACACTCGTTTTTGCATGCAATTCTTGTTTACAATCCCCTTTTTCTCCAAAAACTCCTGCTGTCATGACCGGCTGCACACCGTCAGCACCACCGGGCAAACATAAGGCTCCATAGCTCATCTTAAGCGTCACCAATTACAAGAAGAGAAAACACCGGCGGTCTCTTTTTCTCGGCTTTCTCTTCCTCTCGATTACGTTTCACCTTGTTTTCCTTTATGCTCTCTCTTCTTGTTACTCTGAACGGTGAGAAGAGACGGCGGAAGACCTTTGACTTCTGTTTTCTCTAAGATATTTTCATTCGCGGAGTTCTTCTACCAGCTCAAACTAGTTTTCAAACGTTTTTTTCCTTTTCATGAAAAAAAGAAAGACAACTGAAAAATTCGGACATTTCGCCATTTGAGAACATATGTTCTCAGACGGGCCGGTTGTTCTTTCGCTCTTTTTTGATGCTCCGACCATTCACAAATTATTGACACCATTTCCTTAGTAGAAGATAGAGATGAGGGGTTTCCAAATACAACTTCTCATTCAACATATTGTGAATATTAATCTTATTTTTTCAGTGCATGGTCTGCTGCTACTTCCGCAAGAAGTCCAAGCGCGCTTAAGTCATCTGCAACACCAGTCATCCGGCTTCTTTTTGATAACTTCCGGATAGTTTCTTCAACACCAACTTTATTCTCTTCTATATTGACTGTTTGTATATATCGGCCGAGCCATGAGGAACGAAGTCACTTTTCATTTGTCTGAATTTTAAATATATAAATATAAATATATATTATATATCTATTTCCTTATAAGAAATAAAACTTAATTAATCCTATGTCTTAGTATAACATACTATAGAGTCTTACCAATAGTATAATGAAACGGTCGATACACTATCAAAGAAAGCACGTTTAGATGGTATCAGGGTAACATTATATATCTCCGAGAATCTGGAAGACAATAATCAAGTCAGATGAACTCAATAAAATTATCTATTTCGAAGAGTTCTGGAGATGCGATAATATGTTAACAACCAGAGCAACAACAACATTAGATCCTGATTAAGAACGCTCGTAATATTGCAACATGAAGGTTCCTCGTCAAGGTTTCTTGTGACTCACTAACTGAACTTGATAATTGTCTCTCCCTCTAATACCTCTAAACAAGCCTTGGTTAAAGGAACAGAAACCATCAATGGTGGTTCAATATCTTCTGTCATTGCAGAGAGAAGATTTCTTTAGAGCATGCACTTTCTTTTTTGTTTTTCTCTGTTTTTGAAAAGGAGGAAAATTACAATTCCTTAAAAGTCCTGAACATTCTATCTCTTAAGCGCACAACCGATCTCTCAAACATCATAATGAGCAACAATAAGCCACATGTTATTTTTAATTTTCAAAATTGAAAATATGAGAACGTACGTGAGCTTACTAAGAATACGCTTTAACAACAAGAAATGATCATTGTCATGTGCAAACTGATTGAACGGTTGTGCTCAGAAACTAGCAAAAATAAGAAGAGACAAGAATTGTCATAAAGCGAAAACATTTCCGATAATCTTTCTGATTCACCCTCAAACACAATCGGAAACTGTTCGATTCACTTCTCATTCATTTAGGCAGCCTCTTTCTAGAATCCTCATTCTTTTTCTGGGTTGAAGTAGATATGCAAGAATCCGCAGATTGCCCTTGTTCCAGCTCTCCAGAATCAACAATGACTGATTAACTTTCTCCAAATGGGCCCTCAAAAAGCAAGCGTTTCCGGACCAACTTCGAAATATCTGTAGTTTGTCGCTATTATATACTTCGCCCGTCATGTTCTTTTGTATTTTTGATCTACCGAATGATCAATATTAGAGAAAAATGACGACAAAACTGCTCAATTATACTGACGTCTTTTAATTCAAAATTATGTTTGGTTTGCACATTTTTGTTCCCAAGGCTTTTGGTCCCTTCAAAGCTCGGCCAGTTGGCAGTCAGCTGCCTATTGATCGGGCGTCCATCCGCTCAAGCCGACATAGTGCGCTCATCGGCAACCTTCTCTCGAGTCTTACCCGAAAAATCTATTTCAAACTGTTTTGTTAGACAAAACAAGGTATGAACACAATGAATATTTGAAGTTTCATTCAAACATCTCATGCAGCTTGATTGATTTTGTTTTGTTTTCATCTGCCTAATCCAACATCCTTCATATATGGCGACGACAATGAATATCATATTTTCGTTTCATTTTTCTTTTTTCTCCCATTTCTTCACATATTTTCCATGCTTTCACTCTCCTTATTTACATATATCATCGCCTGAAGAAGAAGTTAAAAGTCCTTCGCTTCATAAATCAAATTTCAAACACGCTTGGCTTGTTTCATACTATTTCAAGTTAATATATTGCTTCAAACTAATTCAGTTTTCCTTTTTTCCTCATGTTCCTGCTCGTCTGTCTCAACTTTTGCTCTCTTTTTTTTTAGCTTTTTCTATTCAACTTTTTGTTTATAGTTAAACGCAACGGCAGCGTTGTTTTTACGAAAAAAAGTCTCATACCCGTTCTTTCTTTGCTTCTTTTTTCTTTATGTCTCTACTTAATACATATATTCTGCTTCTCTCTAATGTTTTTGCCATTTATTGATCACCATTTTACCTCTTTTAACCGTTCTTTCATCATTTATCCATTTTCTACCTACCATGATTCCCACTTTTGATCTCAACGCATACACACACACACACACACACATCTCTCCAAAAGCTATTAAAGTCAATGGTTTCATAGCTGTTTCTCAATCCTTTCTTCAGCTTGTTTCAAAGAGGAAATAGTTTTCTTGCGCTCTCTCTCTCTCTCTGTCTCTGTCTCTTTCTGATTTACATTTGTTCGGATTGTTTTCATTTTTTTGTTCTTCTAACGAATGTTTTACATAAGTTAACGTCATGTCCGTCAGATTCTTGAGGTTCTGAAAGAAAACGTCATCTCTCTCTCCCCCCAGTGTTATCAAGTTTCTAGGTTTAACCTCTATCATCCATTTCCATTGCGTTGTCTGATGAATTCAAACATTTATCTTTCTCAGCAGGAACTCTGTCAGCTTACACTTTAAGAAGGAAACTCATTTAATTTTAAGGAAAATCACCAAGAAACTACTATTACTTCTCTTGCTCTACTCCTCTCCTTCTCGCTCTATGTATCGCTGAATCTATCTTCTCTTTCATTTATGTTTTGTCTGTTCGTCTCCCTTTTCAGACTTCTTCAGCACAATCAATGAACAGCTAAATTCGGCGAACTACTTGTGTTTTTTCCATAAACAAGCTTACTAGAAATGGTATAAGCTTTGTCTCGAGTTCACACTCTTAGAAGCTTTATCTTCATAGCTTTGAGTCTACAATGACAAGTAAACTGTTTTTGAAACATTTTCTGCCATCGAACTAGGCTTTAAATGAAAAACATTCGTCGTTTTTTCATCTTTCTCTTTGCTTTTTTTCTTTTACTGAAAATATATTTGAAGAAATCGGGTTCTGACTCAAATTCTGCTTCCGCAGCAAGTTGATGCTGATAAATTGTTTTTCTACCTGGAAGGAAATAAAAAAATAATTTTTCACTTTCGTCTTTCATACAATTCCTTTTTGAGCCGTTTTACCAAAGAATAGCGCTTAGACTGTTGCTCAGATGAATACAGACAGTCTCTTGTTCTCACAAGACAAGAGACTTCTTGAATTCAGGTGTCAGAATAATAAAAATTGAAATCATCGTTGTCATCACTTTCATTGATTATTTTTTTCTTCTTTTTATCGCCATCTTCGATTTGTCACCGTTTTACTTCTAACTATCTTCTGCCCAAACTACATTAAACAACTTCTTCTTTGTCATGAAAACTACAAGCGACGAATATTTTTGTCATTTTAATCAAAGGCATGTGATTTTCGTTTTCTCTCTCTATCCCTCTATTCCTCTTTCTCTTCTTCTCTCTTTGTTCTTACTTGTCTTTCTTTTTTACATATTACTGTTGAACTGTTAGTTATCATAAGCTACTCGTTTTGGGCAAATGTTTGTATCCATTCATCCTCTGCCCAACAAAAAATTTATTTTCTTCCTTTCTACTCTCTTTCAACATTATCTTCGCCAGCTCGTTTAGTTGCAATATCCTCATATCTTCTCTTCTACTCTCTTCTCTTCTAATGAATGTTCTCTCAACTCAAACAGTTTTTTATTTTTCTTTCAAATGACATCATCATATTCATTGAAAACATTGAAAGTTCGTTCTTGTTGAAAAAGTTATTTTCTTTCATTCAATTTTCTTATTCAGCTTCTGTTTTTCAGATTGAAATAAACATTTTGATGTTCGGAACTGCATAATAGTTTAACGAAGAAACATATCAACATCCAAGTTGCCTATTTGCTTATCACCCAAACACTTACAACGCTATTCTCAGTTCTGCCACGTCGACGACATCCTGGGTTAGTTTTTTAAAAAAAATTTTTTCTTTCTTTCCTCTTTTTTTTTCCTTTTTCTGCTGTTTTTTACCTCGTGAAAATACGCGTGAAAACTTTCGTGAATTTTCACGTGGCGATCTCATTCACACACTCCATTCTGTGTTGCAAACGCATAATTCGGTTGTTTCTCTTTCCCTTCTTCTTCACATCTGCAAACGTTATTTCAAAAGTTACAAATTTAAGTACATTTCAAATGTTTTTCTTAATTTTTGTGTCAAAATTGAGTGCTAAACAAGTTTCATCAGATGGACGGCGTTGCATTGAAACGAACTCAAATTGTCTTTGCTTGCTAACTCTGTCGTTTCTAGATGCAATCACATATTTCGATTTAAGCTTTTTGCAACCTCTTTCTCTTCCTCTTTCTCTCTCTCTCTCTTTCTCTTCATTACTAACCCAATGAACTACTTCTATTCGTTTTTAATGTTTTTTTGTGATTTAACGCACAAGAAAAAGAGCAAAAAATTCGATATTTCAGCATTAACAACACCTTGTTTGTGTGAGTTGTGTGACGTGTTTGTCGTGCCCTCGGGGCTCTAATTAGCTGACGTGACATTTGGTGAAAGAGCTTTCGTCTATTGTTGCATCAGAAAGCCCACGTGGATCTCAGAAGAAGAAACAAAACTTATTCGGTATCGATGACATATCATCTAATGCTATAAGCAATCTGTTGAAGATATAAAGTATAAATCCAATTGAATTCCGTCAAAGTTGAGGCCACTTATGATATCTCCCAAGTATGTTTTTCATTCATTTACTAGACGTTCAGAAGATGAAGTAAAGAAAGAGAAATAAAAGAAATTTTTGAAATGTAGAAAGAAAAGAAAAGAAAATTATATTTGAAAGAGCTTTTCGTTCATTCATGTTCGCGTTTTTTACTCTGTAATTACTTCCCGCTTATCCTTTATTCTAACTATCGCAGTGAAAGTATTTGCTATTTAACTATACATATAGTTAGCCACTTTTCAATATTTCAAAGTTTAATTGCATGCAGATTGTTAACCTTTATGACATCTCTCTCTTCCTCCTTCTTTTCATTAAAGAAAAAGAGATTATTTTCGCATTTTTGTGCACTTTCTTTCTCTAACCACCAACTCTTGTCTCTGATACACTCCAAACTATCGAGCTTTTTGCATTTCTCTCTCTCTGTGTTTCATTGAGGTACCTGTTGAATGATCTTCGTCTTTCTCTTCTTATTCTCCCTATTTACTCTACTTCTCTCAATACCTCATCTCCATTTCGCATACTATCTTCAATGAGCCAACTTTCACAAAGCTCTAGTTTTACCAACAAAAAGTTTTACGCAAATAAATTTTTCTGAAACGTTGCTTGATGTATGCCCTTGCTTGACCTCACTTTGTTTTGTTTTCTCTTTTTCATTTTCAAAATTATTTTGGTTCTTCTCTCAACTTTTCTTTTTTTCTTCCCCTATTTTTCTTTGAGATTTGCCGTCAAGTCGCCATTTACATTCCAGTTTTTAACTTTATGATTTTCTTTTTTTTAAAAAACATCAAGTTCGTGGAATGTGATTGTTTGCAACTTTCATCTTTGCCTATCAATTGATTCATTTTTTAAATCGAAATTTGATAATAGAACCCACTACTTTGCACTTCATCTTCTCTTTCTCAAAACTTTCTCGATAAATTCTGATTCAGATGATTCGTTAAGCATTCGTCTAATTTGAATAATGTTCACGTACTTACGTGCAGTGCACTGCTCACAAAATCATTTTCGAGTTTGTTGAACGCAGTGAGCGGTTGCGATTTGAAATGCTTCTCATCTCATTTCTTCCATTCTTCCTCATTTCTATAATTATAATATAAGCTTTTTTTCTTCATTGAGCTTTTCCACAATTCATTGGATTCTTTTCTGCCACTATGAAATTCTTTCTCCTCCGCAGATGCTTCTTAACTATAATGCTTCTGCATCAGTTAGAGCTCTGCAGCAGTGGATGAAAAAATTTTGTTTTTTTTATGACTTATTTCTTATTCTATTCTTCCTTTGGTCTTATACTCCTAACTCAATCGAAATAGTTATGTTCAATAATACGGATATAAACTGAATTGTTCGCCTTTCCATATCTTCTGCCTCATTTCTCTCCTATAAAGTTGTCAGTACAGATTCTCCCGTTCAAAATATCTAGTTTAGCTCTAAGATTCACTTCTACCTGATTTTATTCATTCAGTGGGCCACTTTCTTCCTTGAATGACCAGCTGGCTGATCCTGTTTTTTTTGGTTTTCATTCTTTATGAAAATTATAACATTTATCATTTGATGGGTTTTTGTTCATTCGAAGCTTCTTTTATAAGATGAAAATTTTTCTTTTCAATATGTTATAGTACACTTGTCCCTTGAACCAAAATAGTGGTGAACTGACATAAGCCCTGTTAGAGATATAGAGCAGAAGAGAGACGAAGCAGTCATGATAGAATAGAGAACAAAATGAAAAAGATTAACAGAGAGAGAGATAGAGAGAGAGAGAAAAAGAAAATCATGACGTCGAGTTGAAAACATATAGCATGTGAGTCAAGGATAAAAGAAGTTTTGAGATTCAAAAGAGCAGTCGATACAGATCCTGGAAAAGCAGATTTCAGCCATGGTTGTTTATTTGTTTTAACCGACCACCCTTTTCCTACCATCAACTATAACAATCTTCATCTCAGTCTTTTGAATATCCTTTCTTTTTTTTAAATCTTTACAATAAAATTCTATGAATTGAATGCATTTAGCGTCTCCGGAACTTCATATTCTCTAGATTTGTCTTCCTTGTCGACACACCCCCGTAATAAGATATATCAATTAGCCTTCCCATATAAGCTTTTTCCTTTTTTATCCCCTAACGTCCACGGATAGTTGAAAGATGCTTTCGTATGAGAATATATCAGACATCAACCTTTCACATCAATTCCTCTTCGCAACTTTCTCCTTCTCCCCTGTAAATGATAACCTGTGGTGAAATAGATCCATCTGGACGAATGCCAAAAGCAAAAAATCTGTTGACCTGAAGATACAAAATATTTCCTTTTCAGTCTATGCATCTCTTTCATTCCTTTCGAGCTTGTTATTTCATTTGTGTTTTTGTGATTTTTGTTTGTTCCATTGAGAAAGAAAATAGCTCAAATATCTTTTTATTCAATTGAACTACTCCTTTCCTCAATCTATCAACTCTTAGTCTTATCTTATCTCTCGCATAGTTTGCAAAAACTTAATTCTTCCATCAATGAGCAAATATATTCTCACTCACGAACTCAATCCATTTTTTAATATTTATTCATACAGCTATATTAAAAATCTTATTTCAGCTACGTCTCCCGTAGTGGGATGTCGTCTTCAACTGTAGGACCGGCATCATCTAACCGTCTATGGGTTGGGCCTTTACTGCTGATTCTCGTAATTGCTCTCATTTATATATTTTCTTTGATGCCTAATGGACCAACTCCACATAGAGTATACAAATCTTAATTTGAATGTAATTCTCTTTCTTAATATTTCAGTTTCAAAGCCGCTTCCCCCACGAAGAAGATGATGAATTTGAGTTCCATCATAGAAGATTAGAGGAGTTAACGAGAGCCGATGAAGATGAAAATGCTACAAAAGGTTTGTGTCTGTCCTCATAATGCATACTTTGGATTTTTAAGAGCAACTTTTGTTATCGGATGGGATTTGTGTGAATGGCGGAAGCTATAATGAAACGTCTGAATCCTGCATCTGCGGCCACAACTTCTCAGGAAATCGTTGTGAAGTTGTTCTAACAAAACAAGTATAATTAATAATCTAAGAACGATCCCGAGAAGAATTGCTTTTTCAGTTGTGTTTGAATAATGGCTATTTTTCTCAGAAAATAGGAAGATGTCATTGTCCTATGCCTTGGACTGGCCAGCTTTGTCAACATCGTTGTAGTGGTGGATTTGGAAGAGTAAATCGAACAACATGTTAGTTTTATATTCAAACTATCAGAAGAGTGAGAGGAACCATAGCCAACGTCATCGTCTTCCTCATTAGTCATCAGCTTTTCGTATTTAAATTTCCGTGCTTTCCAGGGACTTGCCAATGCGGAAATCCACAAATGTTCGGCACGAATTGCGATTCAGTTTGCATAAATGGCGAAGTTGTTGATGATATTTGCCGATGCTTGCCAGGTGTTTTCTCCTTCCAAGGAGATTTGATAATGAAAGATGTTCTAGGGTACTATGGACGTTCATGTGCAACATGTGATCCAAGTTATATGACATCTGGAGAATGTGATGTAAATAATAAAAGAAGGTTATTGATCTCAGATAATCAGTTTTAATTCATTGTTTTCAGGGGGGCTGTGAACTCTAGGTTAACCCTAAGCGGTCTTTCATTTTGTATGATAACTATTGGATTATTATGTGTTACTGCCAGGTAAACTAATTTTTCACTTTTTTTAAATTTTGAAAAAAAAAACACTTCGGGTTTTTTTTCTTAGACGAAGACGACAGTCTATGGTTCCTCCAATGGACGATACCTGGTATAGAGTATTTCAAACTCAACCTAGACAGTATGTTTTAGTATTATGAGAGTATAGACTTCATTGAAACTGTTAAAAATAGATTTTAGCCCTGTAGCATGGAATAAGCTTTTTATATTTTTCATTACAGTCGATGTCGTCATGAGTTCAGTTGTGGAAGCGCTTGGCTTCCTAGGGATCGTGCTTTATTCGTCACTACAGGGCGAGCATCTGTGTCACACGGTGGACGCCGTGGAAATGGGTAAGTCACGAGAGATCTTCAGCAAATAATCCTCAATTGCAAGCTTGTACATATTTATTTATCACAATCATTAGTTTTCATTACAATCGAGATTTCTTGAAAGACCATTGAATTGGTACATTGGCCTGACACGCACATGTCATACGGCGCAACCATAAACTATGTCCTTCGCTTGCCTTATCTCTTTGGCTGTGATGAGCTATTGGTTGGTCCGTGTTGCTGACAAGAGAATGACGTTAATACAACCATCTGAGCCTAGTTTTTGAAAAAATATATATTATTATATAATATGATGAAGTTAATAAGATCTGAGGTTGTGGTTCTGAACGAAAGTTGTTCATTCATTCGTTTGACAAACAATGATTGCCACACAATTTGATCTCTTACCGCCTCTGCCATACGGCGTAACTTAACTTCATGAGCATTTGTCCGTATTAGGATGCAGACTGTGATGAGGTTTTTGGTTGGTCCGTGTTGATGACAAGAGAATGACTTTAATACAACCATCTGAGTCAATTTTTGAAAAAAAGAGCTATTTCATTCTTAGCATATTATTCAATCCTGTCAGATGTGTGTTCAAAAGGTACTAAACTGAATCTTGATGAAAATACTGCTCCTCTAACAAAAACTTTATAACCCTCCCATATACGGAGAGGAAAATAGATTCATGTCAATAAGAGCCTGAAATGTCAGACTGTGATGAGGTTTCTGGTTGGTCCGTGTTGATGACAAGAGAATGACTTTAATACAACCATCTGAGTCGAATTGATTGAGAAAACATATATATGTTTCAAGAGTTATTTTCAATTACTGTTATGTTCAGATCGAGAGGAACCCGAAGGATGACCACACCACCACCTAGTTATACGTCTGTAGATAATATGACTGACGATGAATCTCCTCCCACATATGAAGTAAACTTGTCATCATTTTTGCTTTATAATTCACGTTTCAGGAAGCGTTACGAACTCTGGATGAAGAGAGAAGCGATATGATTGAAACACCTAGAGAAGAAGAAGTCAAAGACGAATCAGGAGGTTCAGCAGAAAATGAAGTTGTCGTTGCTGCACCAGTTACGGATGCCTCAGAAGGAGCACCCATTACTGAGGAGTCTCCTACATCACCATCCCAATAGGAGGACATATTGACAACACAAACTACGCTCATGTTTGCTGTAACTTATATTATGGGTAAAAACAGAATTAATTAGCCGATACCCCATTTAGTTAATCAAGGAATTGAGGAAGGAAGTGGGAATGAGATGTTGTTTGAAGTATTGTAGTTTATCATACTTGATTCCTCATTTTCTTATTTTGGTTCTCGAAATTGTTCTTATAAACTTGTCTTGTGTACAGATAACGGGAAACATACCGTGTAAATTTCATTTTCAGTAATCATGTTTCAAAATTTAATGACGGTAGATGTTCAATTCTAAATTGATGTTGTTCAAAACTTTTTTCTATACTTCATAGGTCTACATTCGACATCTAGTAGTTGACTACTCACGCTATGTCTGAATATTATCCAAAAATGAACATTATGTTGTAATATACTTAAGTTGTATTACTTTTCATATACGGGTAGTTTCTTATAAAAAAACAACTTTGTTATCTGAATGTATATAGAATAAAACATTTCATATTAACAACGATTATCTTCAATGTTGACTAGAAATAACCGAAGATGGAAGCCTCTGACAACGCGTACTATGCTAAATCTGGAATCCGGCTGTGAAATATCGTTTAGAAATGAACCTATTTCGAGTTTTTGAGTTGTGTTCGGTCTGTGAATCTGGAAATATGAGGATTTGTCTCTCACTCGTACTTAGAAAATACTTCTATGTTTATTTGACAAACAGTAATCCCATGATGAGAAAACGCATTGGAAGATATCAGCGGAAGTATGGAGTACTCTGCTCCTTCGATATCTATCCACAACATATGAATTAAGGACTTTCCAACATGGTTTGTTAAGAAGTCTAAGAATCCTGTATGCATAAACGATCTTTGAATATATTCAGCTGTAACATGTTTCTGTTTCTGAGAGCTTGAAGCGTACATACTTCGGTTTCCTACGATATCTCCTATCTTTTCGTCTTTAGTAACAGCAGGTGGAGGTTTTGTTGCTCCGAAAGGAAGTACAGATGCTTCGAATGTACCAGCTTCCGACCGAATAGCGTAGGGAAAAAACTTCCCCTTGATAGATGCTACTAACTCCTTATTTCCTTCTTCAATTGGATCAGCAGCGACAAAATAAAGACTTTTGGGCCAAAGCTACAAGAAAGAGATAGTTTTAAACGAGCATTTTACCTTATGTAGATGCAGTTCAGCTCCTATATCTTGTCCTACTCCTAAGGTAACCAAATTTAATGAATCATGCTTATTCTGAAATTCATTATCTCATCTCATTGGGAATGAGCGGTTGTGAATACGCTCGTTATCACTCACCAGGTCAGGCATGACATAAAACTTTCTTTCATCTTTATTATCAATGTAGGAAACATTATGTAAATGAAGCAAAGAAACACATTCTTCCACAATATCTGGTAGGAAATACCAGTTCTGAAAGAGTTATCAAAGATGAGATGTAGAAATGAGGCAATACAGATTTCTCGTCTCTTCTAGTCAATCCATATTTCAAACAGTTCTGATACGATTTATTCTTATTTCGGAAAACTATGATAGCAATCACTATAGTTGTTATAAGTTGGAAACTTACTACTGGTTATGAAAAATATGTACAATACAACAGAGAATATAAGAACATTTAAAACGCCACGCTTCATATTAGCATGGAAAACAACTGAGCAAATTGGGCAGAGATTTACCAGGATTGAAAATATCGATGTGAGATGCTTGAAACCGTTGCTGTGAAAGGGCAAATCTCCGATTACAGAAGAACGTATTATAATGAGGTAAAACTAAGATTAAGATTAGATTCGAGAATTACGAAGATGGCTATGATATAAACGTATATACAGTTACAACAGAAACTAGTTCGTCCTAGCTATTCTACTTAATAATGCTCTACTATAATGACTTTTTATATTTGTTGGAAGCTTCTCCTCTATGAGGACAGCCAATCTCTGAGATAAAAACTATTTTGCTGGATAAAACTAAAGATCACTCACTATTAATCATTTCCGTAGTCCAGTATTCCTCAGCATCGAATATACACAATGTGCCAATGTGTAGCTCGCATTCCATGATAACACGAAATCTGAGACCAGTATAGCTTCAAGAAAACATATCATACATACCTTTTAGAGTTCTCATTCCCTGATTTATCTTTCTTAGCGTTTTTCTGGAGACTTTCGTCTGGTATTTGCTTGTGTAAAGCTTCTCCGTTTTTAAAGTTTTCTTTCAAAGGTGATCCCACGGCATGAGGGACTCTACTCGCAACCTTTTCCTTGTTCCTTACTATAGAATGGAAGTTCTGCATTACATTCATTTAAGCAAGAAAGCCGAAATCGTGTAACAAACCTCTGTTTCGGGCATCTCATTCTTTGTACAGAACTACTATTCGCCTTATTTTTTGGTAGCTGTAAAATTCAACGGTTAACATTAATGAAAATAAACATACCTCGCTTTATCCTTGAGAGTTTTCAATCAAGCTGATTCGCTGTTTCGATCGAAATGCCGTAAATTCTTCGCACGAAACAGTGAAAGCGAGAGAGAACGCAGTTTAAAAATCTTTTTTTTTCTAGGTGTACGCAATTTCCCGACTGACTGAAAACATGTACGAGAATTTACATCCTTCCTCTTGAAGCTTTTCTAACAGGATTCAGAATCATACAGTTAGTATAATCGTTGTTTTTATATTGTAGTTATTGGAGACCCGTCCTTATATTAAATGTGAAAAACTTAATATATTTTCAGACATGATTAGACGAGAGAATAGGTTAAGACGAGAGTTCATCTTTCGGAAGTCTTTGGAAGAAAAGCAGAGAGCCCTCGATGATAAACGGGAGCAAGTTAGGG